ACACTATCCCCGTTTGGGAGAGTGCCCTTATAGACCTCACCGAAACCACCTGAACCTAGCTTATGGGTGAAGTTTAAGGTTGCAGCCTTGAGTTTGTGAGAAGTGAACTTGGTGGGCTTGAGCTTCTCCATATTGTCGATGAGTTGGACAATTAGGGGAGGGGCACTGCCCACTTCTTCGATTTGTGTGTTCGAGATCTTGCCCTTCTTCTCGATGCAGCGATGAACGAAACAAAGTATGTTAAGACCAACAGTGAAAACTGAAAGATGGAAAAATTCTCACGTATGAGAATCAGTAACATTGATAATTTTTTATTTTCTGAAGAATGTGAACATGGAAATCCTTCAACAAAAAATTGAACTAAAAACTCTTCTCTCTCTCTTTCTCTCTCTCACACATGCGCGTGCACACACACACACACAAACAACATAAGGGATGTAATCTAAGAGCATAGTTTACATACCTGATCAGGTCTTACAAGACATGGTCCTTTTCGGGTTTGGGTATGTAACCAGGCACCATTGGCTTCAGATTGGGTTAACCCGACTAGCACCATTGGCTTGGGTCAACCCAATCTGAAGCCAATGGTGCTCGGTTACATACCCAAAACCGTAAAGGACCAGGTTCCAAGTTCTAACAAACCCGCCGTGTTTATCGGGTTTTAACCAAGATCCAATCACTTTTATCGAGTTTCATTCCTGTCACGCTTTCTAATTTCTCACAAGACCCATTCGGGATCCTATCTGTTCACATGCCAACATGACCCACAGGAGCCTTTTGGATCTTGTCGGAGTTTTCGGGTTGGCAAACACTACATAAACAGAGATCAAAAGCTTACCTGTGGCGAAGATGATAACGTTTGTAAAAGAAGTTGGCATGCCTCCCTAAAAATCTTGGAAAGATGGACTTATAATTGTTGTATCCATTCCTTTGCCAGGAGCGTTGATCAGAGAAAACAGAAAACTAAGTGCGGATTACTATGGAGAATCGTGCTTGAAGCTGGTGAGTCTTTGTCTCAATCTCTAGCACTCTGTTTCCAAGTTTCACTATTGACTGGGGTCACAAAATGCATTTGTTCTCCTCTATCCCTCACCCTCCAACTTTGACATTGTAGAATTGAAACGATTACATTTTCTTTTGGACAATTTTAAGGAACCTAAATTTTAAGAATGTGACTACCAAGAGAAAAAAATGAATATAATCTCTGGAAGTGAATGGCAAAAGCCATGCCCAAGGATTGAGTACATCATCATGATCTTCTTTTGGCTCAAGGACGAGTATCATCATTTGAGCATTTTTTCAATTATTTGTGGTTGGCTACACAAATCCTGATCCCCATTCTGCTCTTTGAACTATTTGGTGAGGTCATAAGTTCCCATATCGTTTCTAACTACTTCGAACCATGTCATTTTACGTGTACCCCTTGTTTCTTTTAAGCTTTCCACTTGAAGAATGTTTAATGGGTTAGCCCTTGATGAGGTCGAAGTATACCCGAATGAGAGCCGAGGGACTGTGTGACCTTTATGTGTGATGACTAGTCTATAGAGATAAGACTAAAACCTCATCATTGTATACTTACATAGATAGCCGTATTGAAATAGCAATCCATCATTGAGAGTGAAGCGTGTATATGTGCGAGAGATTACCTTTATGCAGTATAGGGTTATGGTTGTATCATGGTCTAGTGGATCATGGTTTGTCTCTAGGGGAGAACTTAAAATCCACCTACTGAGATTACATCCCTTAGCCTATGATTGACTTGTGACAGTTTAATCATGAACTCTTGCAGTGGATTGTGGGTTATGAGAACTACTGGATCAGTTTGAAAAAGCTGGTGTGGATCCTGGTCCACAGTTGAAGGTGGAGTGCTCCCGTGCGTTGATTAAATCCTAGACCTATTCGGATCAAGCTCCTATCAAAATTAATTTAATTTAATAAATTTTATGTTATTTGTTTTTTAGAATGTCTATTTATATTTTTATTAAATCTTGTGATATTTTAATTTTGCTATTTGAATTTATAAATCAAGAGAAATTTACTTTCTAAAATCTTAAATTAATTAAGAAGATTTAAATTCTAAAAATTTAAATTTTTTTATTTTTAAAAATATGTGGGACCTACCATTATACATGGGGGCCCATTTAAATAGTTTTGTTGGATTGGGTGGAGCCAATGGGTGGACACAATGGGTGGCGCTCCTCACCCATGAAGAGTTGTCTACTTACTAAAATTGTGAGAGGTATCTCATGTTAGTTGGCTTTCGTTTTATAGAGAGAGGCCTACTTGTATTAAAAGAATGAAACATATGGTTTTAAAAAATCTTGAGAATTAAAAAAGTTTGATTAAGAAATAAGGAATGAATATTTACTAATAGAGAAAGTAAAGAAATATTTTTCTTATTTAATTTATTTGATGGTAATAAGTTTAGGAAGGGGAGGATAATGTTATAGCACATTCTTTAGCATATTGATGGTGAATCTAAAGAATGGATGACTCATATATCTTAACCCCTACAACTCTCCTTAGATCGACGGTTAAGATTTGCGCTTACGATTTATGACAAACCCTAATACATGAAAAATCTATAAAAAAAATCATTCTCCATATCAAAATCTCTACACCTCTTCTTCTCTCTTATCTCTCTAAAATTATCATCTCTCTCTCTCTCTCAAAGCTCTCTAAGGGGCACGCCCCTCGCTAGGATAGCTCTCTCTCTCTAGACAACCTAAGGGACACACCCCACGATCGCCTACCTCTCTCTCTAAACCTTAAAGGGCCCACACCCCAACCTACTATGTTCATCTCTCTCTATTTGGCTTCCAAAGGGGCACACTTAGGCTAGGCTATCTTTTGGTGGGTGGCTAAGGGAAACACATCTCTCGCTAAGTAGATCTTTCTCTCATTAGAATTTCTATCTTTCATCTCTCAAAGGTTCAAGAATAAGGGGTTAGAACTAGACTACGGCATTGAGTCTTCAGGTGGGTCGCTCTAGATCGAGATCCATATACATTGATTTTGTTTTGCTATAAAAAGGAGAAATCAAGAGACTGATCAAAGATCCTGAGCACTACCAGAAAGATGATACTCGACATGACATGCATTGAGCCCGATTGAGGTAATATCCGATTATTTTACTTCTTTAAAGTTTTATTTATGCTATATTTTTCTTTTCCCATAAAGCAAAGAGTATAGTTTTTTTATTATTGTGTAAAAGCTTTATTTTAGATGGTAGCAAGTGAGATCATATTTTTTCTTTATTTATTTATTTTAAGAGAAATTTAATTGTAATTTGACATTGTGAGTGATCTTGTCGATGAAAGAAATTTTTTTTTAAAATTAATATACTATGCATTATCACATAATCCATCTTTCAATTGGAAGGATAGAAGGGACCATAAATGTAGACATGGGGCCACAAGTCATGAGGTTACTCACTTTTAGTCATTAGAATTTGGGCAAAGTCACCAATGGCCCCAGTCATCAAGTCAAGCAATTCTCTCTCTCTCACACATACACAGATGACTCCTCTATCTCTCTCTCTTCAATAACTTGTATGGGAAACAGTCACAGATGGCACCTTGCCTGATAATGAAGTCTGAGGGCTGGCTCTTGGAGAAAATGTCACATTTTTAAATCGATCAAGATGTATGGAGATGAAGAGAACATATTTTGAAGTCCCAAATAGATCATCTTACAACATAATATCCAGACCATCTATTTTCAAAATTTTCAAGTATCTATTGATAGTTTGAGTGTCTATTATTTTTGGAGCTTCAAAAATTTATGATTAGGGGTAGCAGTAGATTTTCAGTCCATCAAAGAGATTTCCAATACTTGAACTGCATCTTCTAGTATGATTTATAGGTGCGCCTTATTTTGATTAATTCAGGTGGATGGCTTAGGTAAATTGTAGCGAAATACAAATTTAATTCTTTCACATTAATAGGCAGGCAATTGGACAATGGTCACCACATTTAGAGGGAAAAACTCGTTTACATTTGAAAATCAAATAATTTTTGGGAAAATACCATATAAGAGGGCATAACACCTTACAAAAATGATTAAACGGGTCAAAACATGTTAATTAAGGAAGCTCACCATTAATTAAACAGGTACGTCCTAACAAAAAAAACTTTAAATATGCCCAATTTGCTCTTGATTTGGGAACCCCCAATATGCAGGGCGATTTTAGTAATTTAACCTATTTAAGAGGCCCAAAATAAATGACAAGAGTACCCCTGTTTATTAAGAGGAGATGAAATAATTGAAATGCCTCTACTGTCCCCAACCTAAACAAGGGAATTTTCGCATTTTTAATATTTTTTTCTGAGGAAAGTAGCTTAAGTGAAATGAAAACCAAGAAATAAATCCATTAATATCAATTGAGACCCTTTGGCCGCTTTAACGTTTGCAATGAGTTTTGACCCCTTAATGATATCTTCCGGTAATTCTTAAAATTCATTCTTTTCTATGTTTCATTTGACAACCCCGCTATTTTCTTAGGCACGCCCAGTTTCCAAAAATAAATTATATATTTTTCTCCTTTGAATAAATTTTCTTACTTAATGATGCAGAGATCTAGATCAAAATGAGTTGATTAATTACAGGAATCATGAGTTGATGGCAGAAACTTGATGCATGAAGGTCTAAATGAGAAAAAAAGGAAAAATTGTTGTTTTTTTATCGAGTCGAATCCCTTGTGTCTCAGCTAGGCGAATCGCCATTATGATGTTCAAAAGTGTTCTTTTTCATTTTCAACAGCTCTTAACGTGTTAATTGCTCAGTATCTCTAACATGTGAAATGATGTTAAAGTGCATAAGAGGTAATGGAAATTTTCTAAACAAAGGGATGTGCCTAAAATGATGTTATGGTCTTTCTAATGGGAAGTATTTATTTTCACACTGGTAAGGATGTCAGTCGCAAAGGGTTGAAGCATTCATTGGGGTTGAAGCACTCATTTGTGAGTCGCCTGTGATCTAACAATCAAAACATAATTGTATCACATAAAATAAATTTATTTATTTTCCTCTAGGAAAGAATATACAATTACCAATGCTTTTATGATGAAGCAACATTTATCTCATATTTCCTCATGATGGGGGTTGTCTCAGAATATGATTCCTTTTCAATCGTCCCTCCAAATTGTTGTGAATCCACAATAGTTTCTTCTTCAGTTGTCTCTCCAAATTGCTGTGAATCCATGACAGTTAGCCCGGCAACCAAATGAGAGAAAGGGTCTGGCGGAAGAGCGATCTTACCGTCTCCTTCCAACCACTTTACCACAGTGCTCATACATGGCCTCAATTCAGGCTTGTATTGAACACACCAAACAGCAATCAGAATCATTCTCTCGAGAATTTCCCTATCTTCTTCCTCCTCGATCTCACAACTCTTCACAATCTCTTCCATCTCATCTCTCTCCAATTTGTTCCAAACCCATCTAGGAAACCATTCGTGGCTCTCAGGAAGGCTCACCTTCAAATTCCTCCTCCTCCCTGCAATCTCAAACAATAACATCCCATAACTATAAACATCACACTTATGAGTAACAGGAAATGGCATCCATAGCTCGGGAGCCGCGTAGCCAGGAGTCCCTCTGCATCCTGTCATGGTGACATGGGTGGCATTCCTATTGCAGAGCTTTGCCAATCCGAAATCTGCAACTTTTGGGGAGAAGTTCCGATCGAGCAAAATATTGCCAGGTTTTATATCATAGTGAATTATCCGATCCTGGCATTCCTCGTGAAGGTATGCTACGCCCTTTGCCGTTTGGATCGCTATCTTACTGAGCTTGTCAAACCCCAGTTTTCCTTTGTTACCAAACAAGAAGCCATCCAGTGAGCCCCTCTCCACATGCTCATAAACCAAAGCCCTCATGGTATTTTCAAAGCAAAAGCCAATGAGCCTGACTAAATTAACATGGTGGGTTCTTCCTATGGTGCTCACCTCCGCTATGAATTGAGCTTCAATTTGTTCGTCCGAGCTTCCCTTTAGGACTTTTACAGCCACACTATCCCCGTTTGCGAGAGTGCCCTTATAGACCTCACCATAACCACCCGCACCTAACTTATGGGTGAAGTTTAAGGTTGCAGCCTTGAGTTGGCGAGAGGTGAACCTTGTGGGCTTGAGCTTCTCCATATTGTCCATGAGTTCGACAATTAGGGGAGGTCCATTGCCCACTCCTTCGATTTCGATGTTTGAGATCTTAGTGCTCTTCTTGATGAACCGAATGATGGCAAAAAGAATTGAAAGACCCATACCGGAAACTGAAAGATGGAAAAATTCTCACGTATGAGAATCCCAAATAGAGTATTTTTTATTTTATGGAGAATGTGATCATAGAAATCCTTCAACAAAAAGTAGAAATAAAAACTCTCTCACACACCCACCCATACAAACAACATAGGGGATGTAATCTAAGAGAATTGTTTACAGGTCTTGTTACAAGATTTGCCCCTTTTCGGGTTTGGGTGTGTAACCGGGTGGCTTCAGATTGGGTTGACAATCTGAAGCCAATGGTGCCTGGTTACATATCCAAACCCAAAAGGGATCAGGTTCTAGGTTCTAACAAATCCAACCATGTTTATCGAGTTTTAACCAAGATCCGATCACTTTTAACGAGTTTCATTCCGGTCATGATTGCTTTTTAATTTCTCCTAAGGCCCCGTCGGGTTGATCCCATAGGTTCCCAGGTCAACATGACCGGGGAGCCTTTAGGATCTCGTCGAGTTTTCAGGTCGGCAAACACAACACTGCTTAACAGAAATCAAAAGCTTACCAATGGCGATCAAAAAGACTTTAGCAAAGGTTGGCATGGCTCCCCAAAAATCTTGAGAAGATGACCCTGTATTTGTTGAATCCATTCCTTTGCCTGGAGTGATGATCAGAGAAAACAGAAAACTAAGTGTGGATTGTGGATTGTTATGGTTGAAGCTGGTTTTTTTAGCCTCGCTCTCGATCTCTACCGTTTCCAAGCTTCATTATTGATTGGGTCACAAAATGCATTTGTGCTCTCAGCCACCAACTTTGACTATGTAGAGTTGGGTCACAAAATGCATTTGTGCTCTCAGCTGCCAACTTTGACTATGTAGAGTTGAAAAAGATGATATTTGCTTTGGGAGTAAGTTTTAGGACCTTAAAATTTTAAGAGACAAAAAAGAATATAATATCTGCAACTCGAGTGAAGTGAAGTGACAACACTCAAGGATTCTCCTCCCAACTCTTCTCGCCCTCCTCCTCCTCTCTCTGGAATATTCTCAAGGATGGCGCCCTTTATTGATCATTGTGAGCCTTTTGGAAGGGCCGGCCATTCACAAATCTTATAAATAGAGCTTGGGTGTGCTTTATTTTTGGTGTGTAAAAGAAAAAGAATACAAATTGTGGGAGTTGTAGTAAGGGGTTGAGCATGCGAGTTTTAGGGAGTATATTTTGGGTGGTCAATGTTTTTTTAATAATAAAAGAAAATGGTTCTCTCCCTTAGTTGCTGTGTTGGATTTTTACAATTGGTACCAGAGTTTATGCAAAACTCTACAATTGGTATAAAAGCGGATTTGGTCAGGGGCATTGTAAGTGAGCAGTTAAAAGGGTGATGCCGATCAGTTAGGGACTGCGTTTCTAGGTGTTGAGATCAAAGTAGGATCACACCAATCATGGTGTACGTGAGCAACGAGATACTGTGAAGCCGATCACTGAGCTTCTAGGTGTTGGGATTGACGTGGTGGACCTAGCAAATGCATCTGGATGGGTCGAGAAGCTGAACCACTACAACTACGACGACTGGCGGTCGTATATGGAATCATACCTACAACGATAGGACCTCTGTGAGGTCGTCGGTGGCAGCAAAACCATACCACCTGCAAAAGAGAATGCCAAAGCACTACAACGATGAAGCATCAAGGCCATGTTCGCGTTAAAGATAACAATTCAAAAGGAACTGTTGGACCAAATTCAAGACTCCACCACTCCGAATTGACAAGACAAGTGATGCTCGACTCCAATTTTTGGAAAACGAGCTTGGATCGGTGTCATAAGGGACAATGATGTAGACCTTCATAAAGGTGAAATCTCCCTGCCATGAGATTTCAAAACTCGATCCGGAATCTCAGATTAGTGATATTAGAATGAGATGTATCATCATCAAAGGCTTGAGACCCGAATACAATGGGTTCGTGTCGGCCATCAGAGGAAGACTGACACATCCAACTCTTATGGAGTTAGAAAGTCTGCTGGCGAACCAAGAGATGTTGGCCCGACGAATGGCCGATATATCCATGAAAGATGAAGAGGAGGCGCTCTTCGCACGAACAAAGTAGAGACTGCCAAGATCAACTGAAGGAGAGAGGGCTTCCAACCAAGGGAAGCTAAACAAGGCAATACTGACGCAGACCGGCGACCATGGAGATCTTGACGAGGCATCGAGTGCTACGACTGTGGCAAAAATGGCCACATTGTTTGTGACCACTGGTTAAAGAAAAGGAGGCTAGCTGAGGGAAATATGATGACCGCGACAAGTCACCAGTTCGAGATCGAGGAAGAATGGGATGATGAGGCATCTTTTGCAATAGTTGAAGTGACCAAACTGATGAGTTCGGAATTGGCTGATTATCGATTGGACAATGCAAGAAGCCAAGAGAGAGCAGTTACTTGGTGATCAGTCAGTCAAGCTCAGACGATTGGAGGAATCTGAGGAACTTGTGGATGACATGCACAACTAAAGTCGCAGGACAATAACAATGACTGGGATGTGCAAGACGGGTTTGCACAGGTCGTGGACACAACCTCAATCGAAGTTAACCATGAGGGAGAGAAATCCTTTGCTCTTACCACGTCTAAGGTGGATGAAATCGAGCCTCATACGGGAGAAGATGTGCATCATGTTTCAGATGAAATCGAGCCTCATACGGGAGAAGACGTGCATCATGTTCCCGATGATGTCAAAGTGTTTGAGAAGGTGAAAACCAAAAGTGACTTGATCATGCAAGGGCAACAAATGGACAACAATTCGTTTGCAAGACTTGCACGTGGGTCCGAAATGACATCATTGATCAAGTAACCAATAAGGTCTCAAAAAACAATGTTCGTGATGGTTATGTTAATGGTGTTGAGTAGCAACAATTGTCACCCATGAAGTTGGGTGATGATGCGAAAAATGAGTCGCAGGTTACTCTTACACTAGAGGAGTTGCAACTGTCACAACTAGAAGATATTAAAGAAGGTGAGGACAACACAGTACAACTGCAAAGGTCTTCACCAATTCGGAAACCAAATCCTAACTGCATAGAAGCCGCCTATAAACAAGAAATGCCAATTGGGCAGTGTGATACATCAAGCATTTTTAAAATGAAAGAACCAAACTTGTTTGATGAGACAAAGGGAATTGCCGAATGGAAAGCTGCAATGAGAGAAGACATTGATGTCTCTAAGAAGAACAAGAAAAAAATGAAAAAGAAAAAGAAGAAAAAGCAAAGAATAAATGAAGATCGGAGCAACTCAGTGTTGAGGGGGAGAATTGTGGAGAGCAATATGTGGTTGCTCCTCCATCACAGTGCCCGAAATCCATCTAATAGTAAGGGAAATCGATTCATATCAAATGCCTAAGCATAACAGAACATTTAAGATTCCAATTAGGGCTGCCACCTGGCCGGGCTTGGCCTGGCATGAGCTTGAGACCCAAAAATGCTCGAAATATTCCATGGCGGTCTGGTCCGATAATATATTCTAACTCTTTGTTGGAGCCCCTTTTTTTTTCCTCTTTTTTTTTTTTGATATCTCTCCATGTCTCTTTAAAATTAGTTCATAGTGATCAAGCTTAAAAATGAATAAATTATTTGATAGAAATCGAATATATTTTATGTATTCGATGTGGATTTTTGAGAGAGAGAGACCAAGAGGGAGGGAAAACAAGAGAAAAAAAGAAACCATATCTATTTTCCAAAAAAAAAAAAAAAAATGTTAGAAGAGAATGGCCCCCAAAGGGTAGAAAGCAAGAGAAAAAAACAGAGCCCATGACACAAATCTATCTTTGACGAGCACAAATGGGAAATATTTTATGGAGAAAGAATTGTGGGAAAGGATTAGTTTGCCTTTGTCATTTCCTTAGAGAAGTATTTATCTTGGCAAGTTTCTTGGGATTTTCTCATTCAATCCAATACTCATTATGTTCCAAAGCTCCTAACTATTCATCCCATTAATCATTTTATTTCTAGTTTTTTTTTTTTTTTGGGTAATTATCAATTTGTTTCTAGTTCATGGTAATATTTTGAACTTTATATGTTTTGAACTTCATAGATAATATATTTGTTATCTAGTACCACTTACATAAGACCTTTCTGGTTTTCTATATTCCCCTTGTCAATTTTTTAGATTTCTTTATTTTTGTAATTATATATATTGAGAAGCTTGGGCTTGTTTGGTTAAGTTGATGAAGATTTGAATACAATTTCTCAGAAAAAGAAAAGTTTTGGCAATATGTGTATCTTTTTGGACTTGGCTCCAATCAGAGACCAAATAAATTATGTTCTTTCATTGATTTCTATGGGGTAAGCATTGCATATAAGAAATGATTAAATATGCATGTATGCAGATTGTATCTGTTGGGCAGATATCCATCAAGATCTACCTCATACTGGTCCCAAGCCTAGGAATATTTTTTATTTTTTTTAGCAATTCTACATCTCAAATATGATTCCTACTACTGAACTACCCGAAAATAAAAATAAAAATAAAAGTAGAGTACCATGAAAAAAAACAACAGAAGGAAAGAACAAGCTCCAATCTACCTAGCAAAAGCACCAAAGAGAGAACACACCCTAGAAATATTCTCTAAAATCAAAATTTGAAGCACTCATTGCGAAGCTGCATGTGATCTAATAATAAAAAAATAATTGTATCACATGCAGTAATTTTTTTTTTAATTTCTTCAAGGGAAGGATATACAATGACCAATGCTTTTATGAAGAAGCAACAGTTATCTCAAACTTCCTCATGATGGGGGTAGTCTCAGAATATGGTTCCTTTTCAATCGCCCCGCCAAATTGTTGTGAATCCACAGTAGTTTCTCCTTCAGTTGTCTCTCCAAATTGCTGTGAAACCATGACAGATGGCCTAACAACCAAATGAGAGAAAGGGTTTGGTGGAAGAGCGATCTTACCGTCTCCTTCCAACATCTTTACCACAGTGCTCATACATGGCCTCAATTCAGGCTGGTATTGAACACACCAAACAGCAATCAGGATCATTCTCTCGAGAATTTCCCTATCCTCCTCCTCCTCGATCTCACAACTCTTCACAATCTCTTCCATCTCATCTCTCTCCAATTTGCTCCAAACCCATCTAGGAAACCATTGGTGGCTCTCAAGAAGGCTCACCTTCAAATTCCTCCTCCTCCCTGCAATCTCAAACAATAACATCCCATAACTATAAACATCACACTTATGAGTAACAGGAAATGGCATCCATAGCTCGGGAGCCGCGTAGCCCGGAGTCCCTCTGCATCCTGTCATGGTGACATGGGTGGCATTCCTATTGCAGAGCTTTGCCAATCCGAAATCTGCAACTTTTGGGGAGAAGTTCCGATCGAGCAAAATATTGCCAGGTTTTATATCATAGTGAATTATCCGATCCTGGCATTCCTCGTGAAGGTATGCTACGCCCTTTGCCGTTTGGATCGCTATCTTACTGAGCTTGTCAAACCCCAGTTTTCCTTTGTTACCAAACAAGAAGCCATCCAGTGAGCCCCTCTCCACATGCTCATAAACCAAAGCCCTCATGGTATTTTCAAAGCAAAAGCCAATGAGCCTGACTAAATTAACATGGTGGGTTCTTCCTATGGTGCTCACCTCCGCTATGAATTGAGCTTCAATTTGTTCGTCCGAGCTTCCCTTTAGGACTTTCACAGCCATACTATCCCCGTTTGGGAGAGTGCCCTTATAGACCTCACCAAAACCACCTGAACCTAACTTATGGGTGAAGTTTAAGGTCGCAGCATTGAGTTGGTGAGAGGTGAACCTTGTGGGCTTGAGCTTCTCCATATTGTCAATGAGTTCGACAATTAGAGGAGGGGCATTGCCCACTTCTTCGATTCGTGTGTTTGAGATCTCGGCCATCTTGATGCAGTGAAGGATTTTGCAAAGCATTACAAGACCAACACTGGAAACTGAAAGATGGAAAAATCCGTATGTGAATCACAATCGTAGAGAATTTTTTATGTTATGAAGAATGTGAACATGGAAATCCTTCAACAAAAATTAGAACTAAAAACTCTGTCTCTCTCTCTCTCTCTCTCTCTCTCACACACACAAACAAACAACATATGTGATGCAATCTAAGAGCATAGTTTACCTATGGCAATAAGAGGGATCTTAACAAAAGTTGGCATGCCTCCCCAAAAATCTTGGAAAGATGGTCCTGTATTCATTCTTGTGCCACGAGCGTTGATCAGAGAAAACAGACAACTAAGTGTGGAGTGTTTTGGAGAATTGAGTTTGAAGCTGGTGAGTCTTGGTCTCAATCTCTACCACTCAGTTTCCAAGCTTCAACATTGACTGGGTCACAAAATGCATTTATTTTCCCATAACCCTCAGGCTCAAACTTTGACATTGTAGAGTTGAAAAGACGATATTTGCTTTCGGACTAATTTTTAGGGCCCTCAATTTTAAGAATATGACTACCAAGAGACAAAAAGGAATATAATAGCAGCAAGTCAATGGCAAAAACCGATTACATCATCATCATTATCATCAACGTCATATTATCTTCAGCTAAAAAATGAGTATTATCATTTGAGCATTTTTTTCAATTATTTGGGATTGACTACACAAATTCTGATCACCTATTTTGTTGTTTTAATTATTTGGTGATCGTTATTTTCAACCATGTCTTTTTAGATATATTTTTTACTTTTTTTTTAGCCTTCCACTTGAACCAATTTGTACCTCTTAATATGTGTTGTATTGGGTTTATACTGTATATGATCAGCTCATCTAAGTCTACTTTATCTCATCTTATTGCCTCTTGGAGTCACAACTACGTTATTCTGAATGTATTCATTTTGAATTTTATTCTTTATTATGTTGCCACTCATTCATTTCAACATCCTCATCTCAGTTACACTCATTTTATAAATATGTTATTTTTTGAACGCCCCACGTTCTGTCATATAAAGTAAAGCTGGTATCATAGCTGTCTTATAGAACTTTCTCTTCTGCTTCATTCGTATGCGTTGATCATATAAAATTCCGTTACATCTTCATTTAGCCCACCCAACTCCAATTCTATGTACAATCCCCTTTAGCTCCGAGGATGAGTATATAGTATCTAATTTTTGAATGGGCAACCCAAAATCATTTCTTCTCTTTTACACATCTAGTAAATTTAAAGTGGAACGAAAATGTAAGATCAAGAAAACCCTCATTAGTGATTTTGTTATCAAAAGGAGCAAATCTACAATTTACTCACAAGCACACAAATATTTGGGCTCATGAGAAACTTCCTCCATTTGATCCTCTTGTTCCAATTTCCAAGCTTCGCATAAGACTGGGGTTACAATATGCAAGAAGAATGATATTTCATTTAGAGAATGGCTTTAGACAAGGGAAGTATTATTATTCTACCTACATTGTCTACAAGCCAGCGCTAAGCAACAAATCTCTCTCTCTAATAGATCTAATTTTTAAATAGAAAATCTCTCTCTCTCATAGATCTAATTTTTAAATGGAAAATCTCTCTATTGCACCTTCCTTCTTTCCATCAGAATCAGGACCACTCCATCTCTCCCCTTCTTTCTCTAAACTATTTCTACAAAAAGGCCCTCAGTAAAGAAGACCTGATCTTTTCAATCTGAAATTCTGAAACCACCTTAGATGATAATTTTTAAAAGAAAAATTTCAAATTTTGAGTTTTTTAATACTTAGATTATACTCTCCTAAAATTGGACCTTGTTTGTTCAATATTCAGACATTATTTTTTTCAAGTCCATAGAGAGCAAATCTGATTTTTTTTTTTTTATTGAGGTTATTTCATGGTTGAAGAATTTACATCCGGTCTTAAAATTACTACTACATATTACAGAAAAATATTATATGCCTTTGTTTTCGTAGTCCGATTGGCAAGGTCAGAATGGTACAAATCAATAAATTTTTAATTTTGACTAATTTTCAATCAAAATAGTTTTTAATTTCGACAAAATTAATTTAAATTTAGGCCAGACTAGTCAAAGCACATTATGTGAGTCCTACAAGTCAGACCGGCCAATCAGGCCCAGCCTTGATAAAAATTGCTCTAGATAAACAAGTGAATTTGGAGTTTTGGTGATCATCTAGGTCTTTGATCACTATTTTCTAACATTGGTCTGACTTAACTCCATATAATTGCCCTTTTTTCTCTCCATCACCGTTCATCCATATAAACTCATGATCCCAAAACTCAAGTTACAAACAACGCACAATACCTTTTCTATTTTTAATATTTAATTAGATTTTAGAACTGGCCACCTACATTTCTAGTAACGCATCTGATGTTTTCTTATTTCTTTTTTATTGAGGGGTTATGCAACCCATTGACAAGTACTGGTCATCAAACTAAAAACGTATTTTTTTTGAGATACGAATTTTTACCCAGGATTTTTAGTGAATAGTTTGATAATACTAAAATTCTTTTAAAAATTATTATGAAGTTCATTAAAGATACGATTTTGCTCAAGATCAAATTTTTATCAAACCAAACCAGTTTCGGGTCTAGACATCCAATTGATTATATAATTGGGCCAACAAGCCGGTTTTGGTTTTGATAACGCTAATGGCAGCCCGGGCTTGTTATTACGTGAGAGAGTTTACCTGTCATTTCAAAATGGAGCAATAAGACCTTTTATTATTGGTACAAAGTGGAGCAATAAGACCTTTTATTATTGGTACAAAGCGGTCAAAATCACTTATAATTGTAAAATATAAAATATGATAGGTTGGTAACACAAATTAAAAAAAATTGTTTTTGGTCCTTGAGTTTAGTCGTTGACAAGCTTCGGGCTACTCAATTTGCATCCAACCACCAAAATTAATTGTGACCATCGTTTATATCTAAGGAAAAAGTTTATATAAAGCCTATGCTCTAAACAATCAAATTGGAGCCTACCTCAAAAGTTTCACTGGAAGATGTTGTTTTGATGCCCAAATATCTTCGAATTGATCATCTCGGCATCAAGATGCATGGATAGGAGAAAAAAATGGATTTAAAATTTGAAAACAGTTTATTTTGTAACGTATTTTTGGACCGTCAATTTTCAAGGTTTTCATGCTTTTATAGATCTACCGATCTACACTATTTTTGAAGCTTTAAATTTTATAAATAAAAATAAAAATATATTTTAATGCTATCATAAAGATTTCCACTATTGAAACCACAATTCTTGATACTATTTGAAAGTAGGCTCTAATTTGATTGTTTAGAGCATAGGCTCTATACAAACCACACCCTACATCTATATCTTATTGCATATCTTTCCTTTCAGAATTCCTGCCCAAAATTCGTGGACGTAAGGAATATTTCATCTTGTAAATAGTGTTTTAAGGGCGGTGTGGATCAAGGTTTTAAAATACAGAAGATCAGCAGTCTGAATTAGCAGTCCGGCCTAGTGAATAGGTGAATAAAAATTTAAAAAAAATAGTGAACAAAAAGACTGAAATTTTTTTAAAAATAAAGTGGGACGTGTTTTCTATAGTTCTATCAAAGAACATGCCGGTTATCAAAGGGAACTATTTGGTTTTTAACATTTAGGCAGAACCAAATAGGCTCAGACGATTCTAGATCCGAACCAGCAAGTTCCGGTTCAGTTTGCGGATTTGTAAAACCTTGGTTTGGACAAACCTTGTTCCATGTATGTCCGCTACTCTTGCGCTTTTATTTTGAAGAACAAAAGGCCACGGATTTTGGTCCGCTCCCGCAATTTAGGAATAAGTTCCACTCTTTCCCTCTATTTGTCAACTATCATCAAAATACTTTTAAAATAGTAAAAATCTAAAAACGTTTTTTTATCTTAATTAATCTCTTTTAGTTTAGGTAAAATTACATAAATATCCATTTTAGTTTTCGTTGTTACCAAAATACCGAATACTTTATGTTATTACACTATCCATTTTCGGTTAAAAACCTAAATCAAGCGAATTTCGGTTTTTGAAAAATCAAAACTTTTAAATTTTCAGTTCTTGAAGACCGGACATAAATTTTTTTTATCTCTTGTGGGTCTATCTACATTACACAAGGATTTTTTTTCTCTCTTGTGACTCCTCTGCGTATTTTAAACTTCCTTTGCTTTTTGCTACATCACATGATCTCTACTCATTTTCAGTCATTCTTGAAATTAGAGAGTTTGTAGCAGGTGATCGAGATTCTTATCAGTATTTAGTTGAAAGAATTCGTCGATTCCCCTCGTAGGTAACATTTTAATAGCAAAGTCTGTCCCCGTACACCATGATCAAATAACCATAGATTTCAACAACTTCGAAAGTTCGACTTCCATTTTTTTCTTGTGATTTCCAAGATATAAGATCAAGTCAGAGAACTAGAAATTTTTGTAATTTTGGAAGTTCTCCACTTCATCTATTATCTATACAGTTTAAATGATCAACCAACAAGAGATCTCTACAACTTTAGAAGCTTCATCGTTGATGCATTCTTTCTAGAATTTTCATGATTAGAAAATCAGAGATCTAGCAAATGCATGACCTCCCCAATTTCATGTACTCTTTCTTCTTCAATTTCCATGGCCAGCGAAGCAGAGTTATTTGTCACCAAAAAAAGAAAAAAAGGGTTCACCATTTCTAATGTATTTTTCTGCAATTTCCAGGACCAAAAGTACCCAAGAATGGGGGGGGGCTAGCAGAGGCAGAGACAAAGAAGGGGTGGCTTGGCAGAGAGGAAGGGGTATTTGTGTAGGAGGTGGAGCCCGTGCTGTTGCTTCTAGTTCAAGGGTAGAATGATCCATTTTTGTGTATTTTCTCTCTCTAGACTCCGGTTTTTTTTTACCTTCTTTTTGGAGTAATGATAGGAGGAAGAGGGATTGTTGATGAAGACATAGGGGGTTGAGCGATGGGGCTAATCTTCTCTTTGATCCAAGAGTCCAATACTGGTGTAGATGAAGATATGGAAGTTATGGCGTTGAATCTTTCCTGCTCTCATTAACTTCGAGCATTGTTCGAAATCCCGTGTAATGTAGAGAGAGAGGTGAAGAGAGAACACGCAGATGAACCAAAAATTTTGGCGTGATTTTGGTTTTTGAAAAACAAAAAATAGGTAATTTTATCTTTTTTAAAAAAATTATTATGAAGTCTAAAAAACAGATATATCAGTAATAATGAAAAATATTTGGTATTTTGGTAATAACGAAAGCTAAAACAGATGTTTACGTAATTTTCCCTTTAATTTATGAGAAAAATTCTCTTAAAACTCTTGTAGCCTACTTTGTGGGAGAACATTTTTATACTTACTC